GTGGAATTACATCTATTTGCCAAGTTTTATGAAATGGGTTACCGGAAAGTGCGCGAAACCTGATCCATTCCCCAGTTTGCCACCCTTAGAGGTGGAATATTTTCTTCAAATTTAAATGGGACCAACAAAACAAGAGTCATTAAAATCGGTTCTCAAATCGCTTTAGTTATCGCGTAACATGCACGCAAAAAAAATTATATAATTTTTTTAAATTTATTTAAATTTTATTGAATAAGGACGACAATAAGGTGTAATTACACAATAAATAATTGAATATCACGGCGGTTTAACATTTTGACATTCTATAAAAAAAATAATTACAGTTAATAGCGACATCTCTAGTCAGGGCTGGTAGCTTTAAAGGTATCTAACTGTGTGAAATACTTTCATAGTTTTCTCATAGATGGCGCTACGGCTAAAAAGTCTTTGAAAACCAAATTCAAAGATCCGACAACAAGCACATAGAAAAACTCGTGAGGTCCGCTGGTTCGTTCCGTGGCTTAGTGTTGGTATAGCGTATGGCACGGTTTGGTCGGAGACGTCAATTCGAATCCGGATTTTTTTTCTACTACTCATACATATAATAATTAACGCTGTGCCGAAGATAACTATGACTGAAACTGGAAAATTTTATATCAGGATAATTTCTCATGTAATCGTAAAATAAACTACTCAAGTTAACTACCATAAACCTTTTAGTTGCATCCCAATTAAGATACATGGATTGTGATAGTCTAAATTCCACTGACCGCTCTGTAACAATGTTGTTTTGCCCTACATTATAATTCTATATATTATAGGATGTTTAAGTTTAGAGTTAAATAAAATTGAAAGCTTTTCAACACATAAACTTGACGAATAATAATAATAATGTGCCAGACCATCAAACCAATTCTCTGGTCTCGCACTTGGAACTTTCCTGTATCAGAGCAATGGATTTTACTCTAAACCTCTTCCAAGAATACCCGAACCAGAACCAATTTAGAAAAAAATTGGCCTATTGAGAATCGAACCCGGACTTCCGCATCCAGCGCTCATCATGTAAACTACTAGACCATCGGGGTCATCGTTCAGAATCAGTCAACAGTAATATTAAGAATAAGACGTAGCCCTGTAGGATAAAATAAATAAAACTACTTCTGTAATAGACCTTGCAGTTACCCAACACATATAACATACAGAAGATAGTAACTGAAAAAAACAGTAAATATGCAGCACTCAAAGAAGAAGTGACTAGAATTTGGCGACAAGTAAAGGTATATGTTGTCCCTATTGTCCTTTCCACAACAGGCGTTATCCCACATCATCTTCGGCATAACCTGAAAGAAATCCTCTACGATATCTTACCAAAATATGTAATTTTAAATATATGCCGAAACGTCTGAAACTTTATGCAGATAGTAGAAGATGAAATAGGTTCTAATAACAACACACCCTCAACATGGATACACATCATAATGTTTTTAGTAAAATTGGATCCATAAATGTAGTTAAAACTAGCCAACAGGCTGCAAAAGGAACAATAATATATATACTCCGGACTACTACACCGGTTACCTGACCTCAAACAAGAGAAGTCCCTGTATCATGAGAACCAGGGCAAGAGAATTCGCTTTGGGGCATTAACAAGAACATACAGAGAATTCAAATAATAAATACCTGATAAATAATTCTGGATGCGGTGAAATTTGCAACTAGAAGCCAGTATTAAATAGATTGCTTGTAAATTATAAGAATAACGTCCCAAATCAACACATGTACTACCTAATTTCAGAGCAGATCATTTCCAAATTGCGTATATTTGTTTATTGCAGACAAACCAACGTTTTGGACCCATTTATACGTTCCATGTTCACGGTTGACTAAGAAACCTCCAATCACCATCTTTGTTAGTCAAATACACGTGATTTAAATGTGAAAATATTGTTTAATTTCCGAAGTGTAACAATCGAGAAAACTTAAAAACTCGATATGAACCAAAAATGTTTCCTAAATTTATTCTACCTGCAATAGATCTCGGGACTTCCTGTAGTAGTCGCATAACAGCTAGACCACCCATGTTTTAATATATTTATAATGTAATTTTTTAAGCTTTAAAATACATCCTGTATTTACAGTTTCTTAGAGCTGCGCCTATAATATTTCGCATAACAAAAGTGAATCAAGTCACGTACGCAACGAGCCTCGCAATTAGAGGGTATCAGTTTATGATCCGCACCCATACTGTAACAAACGAAAAGGAATTTATAGTCTATCTGTTCTATACACTTTCATAATAAATAATAACAAAATGATAAAGTTACATAGTCTAGAAAGTTTAACACAGATAGAAAAGACTTATAACAACAACACTAAATCAAGTTCAAATGCCGATTGTATACTAGATAAAAATTCGTGACTCAGTAGTGATCGTATATTTCGTTTTGGGAGAATCAATGAAGGCGTGCTCAACAGGAAACATTACTCTTTTTCATGCAGTTGTTCAAATGGTTTACCTGTGATAGCCCGTTAGAGAACGATTGTTTCTCAATTGCGAGCTCGACTATTATGAATCCATGTGGCGACATGCACCTATGACTTTAATTTGTTAATTAAGTGCATTTGTGAATGTTTGCTAGCAATACCTCTTGCTAACGGTTATGGGAAACTACGAGATTAAAACCTGCTGGTCGTAGGATCTTTACTACCATTATTTTAAAGGATTTCCATACACATCCCACTGATGTGTAATGTAGTAACGATGACAGTAATCACGATATACATAGTTAACCGTCTCAACCACCATCAATAACAAAAACAAAGAATAGGAAATGAAATTGGGCCTGGTCAGTCAATCGTGACCATGGCACCTGTAAAGGGAAAATTAAATCCGGAAAAATAGTTTCGTTTCCTATGTGTAACAATCGCGAAAACCTAAAATCTCGATAAAAACAAACAATTCAATATAAATAACAATCACAAAGCAAAATCACAATTCTACATATAAATGTACATATTTTATTCGGTTTGTACTAGACAAGGATGGAGATTACAAGAATATGCAAGAAAGTTTCGCTTCTTCCTTCTTAATGCCAACAAATAAGAAGTGTAATTATCTGCATTCATTTTTGTTGTCCCATAAGAACAACACGGGTGTTTTCAAGATAATATTGATTTAGATACCTTCTAGGCAAGCACGTTTCATTCTGGCCTTACATCATTACTAGTAATAAAAAAAACATTGAAACTAAACTTAGGAAATTCTTTGGAAACAATTAAAATGCCTAACCTGTATTGGACAAGCAGATTTGACTAATTATTTAAGATTAATGTCGCTAACAGAACGTGAATTAACTAACATCACACCAACCAAACGAAATGAATATGTCCGTTTGCCAGAACAAGGTATTGCGAGAACGAGCGATATGTTCTCTTGAATTTAGTAAAGGACAAGAATTCAAGGCTTCTTCAGCCAGTGCAGCTTTGTGAATTTTGTTATTGACATCCTAGTTACCTGAAGGCCATAGAAACTCTTCGCTAAGTAACTTTCAGTTCGCTTTGTTGAAGTTTGACAACTACTTCCGCCAGAGAAGAAGCTTAACTGTTCAAAAGGGAATCGTTGTCAGCCTCATGTTTTCTCAGGGCCCCGTCCTCGGCCTTCTATTTATTCTTTTCATGTATATTAAACGTATTTACTTCACTTTCGCTTTTAATACCATGTAAATATATTTAATAAACGTGACCCCAGTCAGGTTATTCTATAAACCTGACTGAGTATTTACATATCTACATAACTTGAGTAACTCCGAATATGATGTCCCACGTAAGAATTTAGTAGGAATTCGCATATACACCCATAAGGAAGAAGATATCTGAAATTTCTATCTCTAAGGTCAGTGACTCATATATGAAATTACTATCTAACTTGAGTATTTTAGCTAGGCTTGCTCATACAATCTCATAGATCTGTTGGAACTAAAACTGGGACATCTTATTGTTTAAAGTTAGGTGTGGGTGTGAGATCCTTTTGTTTGCAAAACTGTATATGGTAATTTTATGGACTGTTTCCATGATTCGACAGCACGTAGAACTAATTTTGGATATGTTTGTACTTTTACGCCAACTGTGCTTTTTATAATATGTAAAAATAAAGTATGTATCTATACTGATGTTTCTTTCGATATGTAATGGGCCTTAAAAAAATTGTCCCAAACCAAAATAAACGTTGATATGAATAATAAGCACTTTAAAATAATTTTGAGCTTTATAATTGTTACCCACTGGGACACCAGCGGAGGTATTTATAAAAAGTGACCACCAGACACCTCTTTTAGCTCGTAAAACGTGATCTTTATCATCCAAACATCGCTTAGATTACCTTCATTACCATCTTCAAATTGAAAATATCAAAAAGTTTAGTTACAACGAAAGCAAAGAAATTATGTGACTTAAAATGCAAATTGCGAAAGGAAAATATTGTTATAATCTCGAATAATGGGACGTGTCGTTATTTACTTCTGAAAGCCGGAATACGGTGGAACTGTAGCACAATCACATATTTTACGCTTTTGTACGAGTTTAATTGAGCAAGAAGAGACCTGAGACGGCACAGCGGGATAACTTCCAAATTTATTTAAAAAGAACTCCGCCAAAAGTCCCCATTACTTACGTCAAGAGCCAACAGAGCACACGAGACTACTACTGCAATATTAAGTGTGAGATACAACCTCATTCGCGTTGACCCAGATTTTAATAAGCCGAATGCTCTTTATGATGACTTTTTGAAAAATGTAATTTTTAATACTTAGCATGGAACGAAGCAAACCGAACGGACACACAGACGATTCAGTTTAACTGTATCGCGTATAAATTGCTATTTCTTATGCCTTGCCGACGGAAGTCTGTCGATATTTTACACTAAATTAATGCAGGCGCGGTCCGAGATCGGGGCCGTCGGTTTTTGCCCAAAACACCCTTTTATAATTTTCGTTCATTAAACTTGCAATTTTCTTTTGTTCCAGTCTTTCTTCGGACGGACGTACAACAATTTATCTTCGATATCGGAATGCAAGAATAACGGAGAATGTGTCATCAATAAGAAGAATAGAACGGCTTGCAAAGCGTGTCGCCTACGGAAATGTCTTCTGGTTGGAATGTCAAAATCAGGATCGAGATATGGACGACGATCGAATTGGTTCAAAATACATTGCCTCTTACAAGAGCAACAGCAACAACAAATTCAGCACATACACTCCAATAAGTCTCCTCCTAGGTTCAATACTTCAATCAATCCCAATTTTCTACCAGCAAATTTACTCCCTGCAGCTGCATTAGCAGAATATTATAAGTCCTCAGAAAAGAGCCCATTTACCGATGATGTGACGCGACAAAGCGTATCACCATCCGACTCTGGTGCATCATCAGCTGATCCTGAAGACGATAATAGTTCCCGAAGTACAAGTGGTCTTAGCATCTTCAGACCTGCATCATCCCCATGCAGCGAAAAGGATGTTCGATTACAAGCAATTAGGAATCAAACCAAGGACGTGAAAAAACGGAAACCTTCAACGTTACCACCTTCGCCATTTACTGTTTCTGCACCTCCAAGCTTTTCTCCTAGAAGTGGAAGTTTTCTAACTCCTGTACAGAACCTCCGGTCACTTCCACCTGGCATTTCTTGGCCAAATCGCAATGGAGGTGACCTTCTTCTCCATTCTCCAGTGGTAGCTGGTGTGGCCATTGAACAAGACCAGCCAATAGACCTGTCAATCAAATCTACCGCTGTATTATTCCGAAGTCCAAAGAACGAGGAAATCAGTGACTCAGAACCGGAGCTTAGCATCGATTTGAGTGCAGATCATAAAGATATTATGAAAAATCCTTTAGATTTGTCTTTGGTCCCGAAAAGAACTGAAGAAGTACCCATGACTGGATGAGATATAGTTTAAAAAGAACTTGATTCTTTACCATTAATGGAAGAGTCAGTGAAACTATGCTCTCTTTAAATTCAAACACACAATATTTTCAATAAAAACCATTTCAAACTACAATAGTGACAATTAGGACCTTGTACAAGCCGACAAGGGGATTTATCCTTGACAAGTTGCATGGAATTTCAAAGAAGTAATTTGATTTTACTGAATACACGAAAAATTTAAGTATTTTGAAATCACTCATTAACATTATAACGATAATATTATATTAACAGCTATAGCGTATGTTAACCGTGAGTCAAAGCAGCCATGTATTTTGTTCTCTATTTATATGTAAATAAGTTTCATATTTTAAAATACTTTGCCATACAGTATTTAAGTGTACATTCCTTTCTTCTTGATTACCTGAATCTTTCTACCGTTAGTATTTTTTTAATTTACGTTATAGTTAGTTATAGCTTATACCTTATGTTTAATTAAAATGACTGAGGCGTTGTCGAATTTTTCTTTTTCAGCGGTCTTTTGAAATTTTGTCATAATATATCATTTTTTTGTGACAAACAATAGTAATCATTTTGTGTTCCCAAGGTTCATGTTGGCTATACGGGTCAAATGGCCCGTGAATTGTAACATAAAATAAAAGGGATACATTTAAATTTATTATTATTGATATTAATTATAAGTAACGAAAGTAATGTGATTGATTTCTCTCTACAATTTAATTTTTGGCCTTGATTGGGACCCAAGGGCTTCTTCTTTACCCATCCATGTAGTAGAATAGTATCTAGTGTAGTAAAAATTAATTTTTCGTGCCAGTTTGTAGGTTTATGCCAGTGAATTTTACCAATTAGTTAAGTTAAATAATGGGATCTAAGGCCAGTGGAAATGAAGCTCAAAATTTTGTACAGATTAGTAAAAATTTTGTATCATATTTAATATTTTTTTTTAATAATTTCTAGTAAAACAAAATTCGTGTAAGTATTTATTTCGTTAGTTTTAGGCCAGTTTGTATTGAGTCATTCCTTAATTAAGTAGTTACTAGATAATTGTATTTTTTTTATTATTTATAATCTGTAGCGTATTTTTGAGTTATGACAGCTCTTGTGTGTTATTTTGTTATTTGTTTCGTTTGTTAGATATTTTAAATACAATTTAAACATTCCATAAAAATGCTCTATGTAGTAATCGAAGTCCATTTTTTTATTTTCGTACATATTTCTAAACACGTAGGTGCCATTTTAGAACTTTTGTTGTTTAATACAAATGAAAGCAGGCTTACTTCTCGCGCCCTCAGTAATAAAGTGACACATTTTGATTTTTGGTAAAATGCGAAAAAAACACAGTTTTTCATATCATAAAGAATTCGTCATATATGACACCAGCGGCGTGGCATATGATTGGTGTCAAGTACACGTTATTTTTCTTAAATATATTTTATCGAGTACTTATTTTTTGACTATAGTTACACATTGGTAATGAAATAATTTTTTTCGGACCTAAATCTCATCCATTTCTTTAAGGTGGTTTGCATTAATATTAGACATAACTGGTGGATGATTTTATCATCTCAGTTAGCTGTGAATATGGGACATGGAAAGAGCCCGGTTTGTGGAGAGCTCTGGGACTTACATCGTGATTATAAATATGACACAGTTTTTTTGGGTCCACAAACGCGTAAACGCTTTATGGGTTACGTAGGAGATTTTAAACGGAATCCCAAGTATATTCTAAAGAGATTTTATTGGATTATATCAAACATCACTCGTTTACAATGCAACGCAATGGTGACGGGGAGAGTATAGTGTTACTAGAGTGTAAAACGTTGGAGTTACGTATTATGTGTGAGAAAAAAAGAATTTAATTGTAAATAAATATAAAGTGGGCTGAGAGAATTATAATGGCGGAGCCAGTTTATTGGAAGCAACAAATATTGGCAATTTTTAATCAGAGAAAATAGTTACACTTCTAATTATTATTTTTCGCATTTAGTCACTTTATGGTTGAGAGTGCATTTATTTTAACAAAGATCTTACTTGTTATGGCAAATTAAGTTATGGCAGCCTTAAAAAATTTTACTTATACATATTAACGAAATATTTCTGAAAGAGTAAGCCTGACTGACTTAGTTATCTTCTGTAAAATTGTTGTTATCTGTGTGATACGATTTTTTTTAACTACATGTTTACATTTTTTTACGTTTATAAAGATAAATCTTAATATATTTTTGAGAGAAAAATAAATGAGTGCCTTTATAAAATTTGTGGTTTTTAATTTTTTTTTTACAATTTGTAAACGTAGTTTTAAATATTGTGACAGTGACTGCCTTCGTGGCCGAACGGTTGACCACGCAGAGGTCCCGTATTCGATTCCCGGGCCAGAAGAAATATTTGTATGGCCTACATTTATTTCTCGCGTGAGTTTTAGTGTAATAAATAATATATGTAATTGTCTTTGTGTGCATCCATGGCACCCGCGAAACAAGAGAAGCAAGAGAATTAAACATATTGGACACAGCCCTTTCGAACGAGAAGAAAAAAGTAATAATGTTATCAAGCGAAAAGCAAGAAGAATGAGTAGAAATAGAGGTACAATGTCTAAAGATATAAACAATATGACAGTTAGGTAATATTAGATTTAAACGGTTTATGTTCTCAGCTTCTACTTCGCTTGTATTGGAAGGACTACCTCGGTGACTTTCAGGGAGTTTTTTTTTAACAACTCATGCGCGTGATGGTAAGCTACACGCCTGTCTATAACAGTTACAGTGCCACTCAGAGCTTTAAATTACAAAGATCTGAGAAGCACTACCACTGCGCCCGTCACCCTGAGACATAAGTTGACAAGTCCTATGTGCCTGTAATTTTACACTTCCCCTTCAAAACCGGAACACAGTAAAATATTTCTGCCGCCAAGCAATAATGTCAGCATTACTGTGTTCCGGTTTTGAAGGGTAAGGGTGCTGGTGAAATTACAGGCACATGGGACTTGTCAAGTTCAGGTCTTTGCGATTTAAAGCACTGCAACTATCATTAGGCGCATAACTTGTTCGTCTCGTCATATGACATTATAAAAAAACCTTGAGACATAAGTTAATTAGAGGAAGTTGAGTTGAAAAGACTGTACAAATTAGAAACACTCGGACCCACTTTGGATATCGCTTGTGCACTAAGTCCGAGTATATAACCAGAAATAGAGACGAAATGTCATTTAATTTGTTTGAAAACTATTCTGGCATATCATTACTGTGACAACTGCGCTCCGATTGGCTAGCCCGAGTTCGAAACAATTGACGGGTGTCGTCAAATTGTTTCACTTCAAAACAATCGGTTTAACTTGAGCTTTGCTATAATGGACGAAAATTGCAAATTACATATTTAATTACCGATGAAATGTGATTCCGTTTGTTTCGAAATTAGATGTTTTGCTGTTTTTCCTACACCACAGAATAGAACAGCACGGTATTGTTAGAGATATTATCTTTATTACAATAAATACAGGATATTTTTGGAATATACGGAGACGTACACACAGTTCAGTAGTTGGCCTGTCTATATTTCAGTGCAAATGAGAGTTGATATTTATAAGAACTGTATCGCTAACGTGTTACCAGGAACATATGGCCCTTATTTCTGGTTATATACTCGATGATGAAGTCCAATTCGAACCCGAGAAAATACAAATATCGCTAGTGCACCTAGAGATAAAATGAGCCCTGTGACATTTCGGCCGTCATTTCTCGGATTCGGAACTAGGGGTCTACTTTCGATTTCCGTCCGACATCCGTCCGAAACAATTACTGCCAAATAAGCAATATTTGACCAAATGAAAAGACGCGTGATGCGAATGAAGCTTCATACTGGATACTTGTCTTTTAATTTTGTCGAATGTCCGCTCACGCGATGCGCTCATCCTACCGCAAAATGGCGGCTATTTGGTTTTGCAAATTAGAAAAGGATTCAGTTTAAATACAAGTTTTTATAAATAAAAATTATTATTCTGCATTGCTAAATAAATACCCTCCGTACTACAACAAAAACATCTCAAATAAAATGCAGTAACACACCGCAAATCCTGCACTTAAAAAGCACTAATTAAATTTTTGGTGTACTTGGGTAAATATGATAATATTCCGTTTGAGTGGTTCTAACGTTTACCATGAAATTACTCCTTAAAGTATAGTTTATAAACATTTATATTCAGGGTAAACTTAAAAAAAGGCTACTTACGGTATGTTTTCAATAAATAAACACCGAAATCACCAGCCCAAACAATAACACACACTATTGTCGTGACGTATTTTTAAAGTTGTTTATTTTTTTTAAATGACAGACTCAGGCAGTAAAAACTTTATGGTTTACTAGAGTAGTTACCGAAATAGCAATTAGTATCAGTTCTTTTACCTGTTATAACTTCGATATCCGATAAATCGGCATAAAATCATCGCCGGCACCTCTAGGTGTGGTATGCGTCTACGGCTGCAAGTATTGCGTGAGCGGATATTACGTTTTTGACAGTAATTGTTTCGGATGGAGACAGAGAGTACACCCCCTGATACGAATCGGACGAAACGCTCAAACTGCGCAAACGCTCTAAGTATTTTAATAACTGATTCAAAATATCATTAGCGCTTTTCAGAATCTTTCAACGCCATCTAGTGTAGAGTACATGTCGGACGACATCGGACGTTGTGCGCTAACGTTCTAACCCTTCAAAATAGGAACATAATAATACTCACATTACCGTTTGGACTTAGAATAATAACGCATAGAAACCTAGTCCGCACACGCTAAGTGAGGCAAATTGAAGCGCGCCAAAAGGGCCTACACGAGCGGGCGGGCCTTCAGTGCTCAAGGTCAACTTGCACCGTGAACAGCTCAAGAATTTTAGCCAAAAATAACGAAATGTGCGGTAAATGAGTGTAAAAATACGTCAGACAAACTTAAAATAGATACTAACATCACATTCCACAAGGAAGTAACGCGTTTCAACTTGTATTTTTATATAAATATTCACTAAAACCGAAAATTAACCTACTACTAAAACTAGCCTACATGAATTTGATTTTTGCCTCACTTGTGACAGTTCGTTTGATATGAAACTATCATTCTATACGTTATTATTCTAAGCGTTTGGAGGCAGAAATAGGAAAGGTAAGTAAGGCTTCTCTGAACATTTTTTTTACAAAGAGGTCTACTGCTACTAAATATGGTATACTACTGCATAAATAGACAACGGAAAATAAAATTCCAACTAGTCCTAATTGGAAAATCAAATAGTGACCTGATTTCAATACCCAGTCATAATTAATACCACATTATGCACCGTATTTCCAATGAAATGGAAGCTATTGTTTAGACAGTGGAGTTTTGTAAACTACTGTGAACTACTGTCTCATACTAATGAGATGAGTTTGTTTAGGATAATAACATGTGATATGAATACAGATGCGGCGTAATGATGGATCAATATTTGTCGGTTGATATTTTAACTTCCTGTGACACCGAAGTACCTTTGCCGTGAGATTATAACGTTGAGGCCACCAGAGGACCGATTGGTCGAGTCCTCCTATCCGCTCACGCGATACATGCAGCCGTAGACGCATACCACACCTAGAGGTGCCGGTGATGATTTTATACCGATTTATCGGATATCGAAGTTATAACAGGAAAAAGAACTAATATTAATTGCTATTTCGGTAACTACTCTAGCAAACCATAAAGTTTTTAATACCCAGGGGTATGTTATTTAAAAAAATAAACAACTTCAAAAATACGTCACGACAATCGTGTGTGTTATTGTTTGGGCTGGTGATTTCGGTGTTTATTTATTGAAAACATACCGTAAGTAGCCCTGCCTTAAGTTTACCCTGAATATAAATGTTTATAAACTATACCTGTACTTGAAAGAATAATTTCATGGTAAACGTTAGAACCACTCAAACGGAATATTATCATATTTATCCAAGTACACCAAAAATTTCATTAGTGCTTTTTAAGTGCAGGATTTGCGGTGTATTACTGCATTTTATTTGAAATGGTTTTGTTGGTAGTACGGAGGGTATTTATTTGCATGCACCTAAGACTTAAATTTCTGAGTTACGAAAGAAAATATCGCTTCCTGTGAAGGAGTTCGTCTAGGAAAGTGGAGACACCTTACCTATTTCTGCCGCCAAACAGTAATGTGAGCATTACTGTGTTCCGGTTTAGAAGTGTAAGGGTGCTGGTGAAATTACAGGCACAGGGGACTTGTCAAATTATGTCTCAGGGTGCCAGGCGCAGTGACATTGCCCTTTGGATTTTTGTGATATATGACTCTGAGTGGCACTGCAACTGTTATGGACAAGTGTGTTAATACTAAGCGTGTAACTTGTTTGTTCTGTCACTTGATATCATAAAAAAACACATAGTTGTTCGTCATATAAAAGTGGAGGCGCAACCTTCGCGCATACCCTTGAAAAGTTTATGATAACTGTACTACATACAACACCTTTTCTTATGATGTCAAGTGACGGAGCGAACTACCATCCATAACAGTGCCACTCAGAGCTTTAAAACACAAAGATCTGTGCGGCACTGCCACTGCGCCCGTCACCCTGAGACATAAGTTGGTAAGTCTCATGCGCCTGTAATATCACGATCACAAGAAGATATACATCTTACCTGAAAGTGTTTGTCGCTAGCAACGTTGTAACGGTGTGACCTCCTTACACCGTCATCTCACCTCCAACCGTGAAAGGGTTGTAACCCTAACTAGCCGTGAACAGATTCACGGCAAGGAAATGGGAAACTTCCGGTC